CAGTGGGCCGATTTCCCTTTGGCATTTTCGGCCTCTCTACCCAGCATGCATTGTCGGCCTCACGTTCAAGAGCCCAGGGCCTAACTAACTCAGAGGCCCTGGGCATTTCAGCATTTGCTGAAACCCGAGACTCGGTGCACTCCAACCAACTGGCGTGCTGCAACTGTATAGACCCCCACTTCGTGAAATGTTGACATAGAGGATCTTGTTGATTTGCAGGCCCGCCTTCACTTAGGGCGGGCACTTGGCTTGCTGGGGGCCTTAGCCCAGAACATGTGCATCATGGCAAGGCCCCGACTTGAGGGCTTAATCCTCACAATAGGGACCAAGAGTGGCCTTGAAAGATATGGGTAGAGCGCAATGCCTTTTTGGGCCAAAATCGTTGTGTTATGCTCCTGTGAGGCAGGTGTGGAAATTTGCAAACTGGATTTTCCCGTTTGGGCCTTGGTCTTTTGCAATCGGGCGTAGTAAAAGTTGGGAAATACCAGGGCAATTTGCAAAGTTCGATAGTACCCCGGAGGGGTATATTGCAAAGATTGGGGGTCCTACTTACACCAGGGGTATTTAACAAATATTAGCATATATCACAACTTATGGGGGTTTTACAAATTATTATTAATTTAATTTATTTATTTTTTTCCCTCAAAGGGATCATGTATCTTCCTGCTCATTAGTGGCCATTGCTCTTATCTACAATTTTTGAAGGCGATACGAGACACGATATGAATGGTTTAGATTGCAGTACGCTCTTTCACTCAGCCACCCACACCTCGGCTTTCTCTCTCAGTCACTGCAACATCCATCCTCCTCCTTTCTGATGTACGCGGAGCTGCGTAGGCTCTTCTTATTCATTTTAAACGATTCAGAAGACTCTAAAAAGGGAGTATTTTATTCATTTCTTTTTTTTCCCGCAATGGATATACAATTTTTGTGAACAACTGCATAGCAAATCTGTGCGTTTATGCATAGATAATTCTTGAAATTTATTAAGAAAAAAAATTGTGGCAGGGCTGCGTAGAACCCTGACCACTGCTCATCTAAACGAGGGCATAAAAATGTGTATGCATGCAAACGTTAGGTGGCTAGTTGCCAGAAAAACCACCCTACAAATTCATTGAGAGTTTTTTAAAGGAATGCTCTAATAAAGTTGTGTGTTTGTTTGTTTTTTAACTTCGCTCTTACGAGAAATGTCTGGAAAATTCAAGGTTCCTATGAAGTTCAAGGGTGCTGTTTTCATCAAAACAGTTCCAGGTCGAGAGCAGGCAGCACACATTATAAACATTTTGAGTCAACACTTCAATGTGACACTCCAAAATTGGGTTGGTCAGCAAAACACATTTCTGTAAGTAATTTTTTCTTATTCTCAAGAGAGAACACAATTTTTATTATTTTATAATGATTATAAAGTATGTGTGTTGATATGTTAGACCTTGACCTATTAGTAATGCATTCTCATTCCCCAAAAAACTTACAGGTTCAAAAGCATAGCTCCCGGAGAACTGCGACTGTAAAGCAAAATGAAAGGCATAAGGTCATCAGCCGTGACACTATGGGTCTCGGCTCAATTTAAAATTGTTCGTGAGTTGGTTGTGGCCACTGGCCACCCTAAGTGAAGACGGGCCTGCAAATTCTTCTGAGGCCCTACTTGTCTCCCTTCGAACATAGGGGCCCTTACGGGTCTGGAAAGTTCGTGGAGGCCGAAGTTTCTTAGGCCTTGACTTAGCCGCTTTTGGAAGCAACCGACTTGGGTGGTTGATGCCAACTGTATGGGTCTACGCCACAATTTGGACTGACCCTGCACACTGAGACTGGTGAAAGTTGCACGCTGCTAATGCGACAGGCCGACCGCTTCTGAAGCTGTCTTGGCTATGTAAAATATGAAAAAAAAGTGGTGGGCTAAAGCATTCTCATTTGGCTAACTGGAAGTTATAAGGCGTCGGCGCTGCTGCATTGTGCGGTGAACGCTAGCATTGGCTGGCAGACCGAAAGCGCGAGGCGGCGAAGTAGAGGGGAAATGGCCATAGCCTGGCTGCTAGGGGCACTGTGCCATAGTCGGGCAGCTGTCCCTCCATAGCTGAGGTGTAGCAGCTGGTCCTTTGGCTATAAGACGTACAATGTGGATAAAGAGAAATGAGTGAGGTGAGAGAGGGAGTTTGTCTGACGATTGTGAACAGACCGCCATAGCTGGATGTTCTTAATCATCTGGTGGTGATCTTCACGAGGATTGGTTGTAGCCTGTAGAGAGTGTAGGTGATAGGTGACAATCTGTCAGTAGTCTGTTAGTGTCGACTCCATTGTTGTGCTCTTACTTGGTGTATTTCTTGTGCGTTTCTGCTTTCAATTCGTTCTTTTGACAATCTCGACTCTGTGTGATAATTCAATCTGGTTTCTGGCAGTTACTTCACTTATATTCCTTGCAAAAGCCTACCGCAACTCATTAGCTGTGCTACCTAACTAACCCACCCTCAACCTTTTTCCGAATTGCAATAAAACGCTACAATGCTTAAAATCACTTCAAATACCAGGGGTCATCGGCCTCAAACCCTAACCTCTGGTTGAGCCTTCAGCCCTGTACCAAGTAACAAGGAAAGAGCATGTGCCCTATGGAATTGACACAACTTGATACTTGTGTGTGTGTGTTTTCAATTTTTTGTTTTAAAGTGGAAACTGGGGCTGGGGACCTCACAATTCAACCCCCCGGTATACTGAGAGCATCAACCAGCCTTACCTTCCACGCCTGTAATCAAAAAGTTAAATTCAGCTCCCTTCAACCCAAACTCCTTTAATAAAAGAAGTGACAGGGTGACTGACGTGCCATCCACGGTTTGTAGCCACTCTGCGAATTTTTTGTTCGTGCCACTTGGGTCGTTGCGTTTGGTCCTTCGGATTTCACTCTACCTTGCCTGGTATCATCACTGGATACTTTTTTTGCAAACCACTTTAACCACATATCGTCAGCCGCCTCTAAGCAAATCCTCCTTGACTGGTCTCGAAAGCTGATGTGCTTCTCGCTGAAACTCTCAATGAGAGTTCGCTCCTTGAGTCATGATTCTCCGATCTTATTGAAATTTACATTCACAACACAACACTTTTCTTCATCATCATCGCCTGCCCTTTTTCGGATAGCTCCCTTCCTCATAGCACATTCCTCCCGCTTTTCGCCCTCTTCACATCCCAGCTGCTGCTAATGGAATTGCTGGTCTGGAGGGAGGAACACTTGTTCTGGCAGCCATGGCTGCAGGTAATGACTGAAGAGAGTTAGATATAGACAATGTGAATATTAGATCCGAAGAAGGCTGTCATGTACTATTAGTTCACAAACTCACGAGGCACAACTATCCTACTCTAAGCTATAAGACTACTCGAGTTCATCCATGAAGCGAAGCGAAACCTCAGCCCCCAAAGAGGGAACGTGTGAGACGTCTACCTACTCTCCCTCACGATGAGAGAGAGAGAGAGAGAGAGAGAGAGAGAGAGAGAGAGAGAGAGAGGATATAAACATTTATAAATGTGTGTTTGTGCATGCACGTTTCCTTCAAGAGACAGAGGAAAAGGAAGACATGAAATTGACGGTCCTATATTGCGTGCATAGTGTATGTAGGTTTCCTTCAAGATCCGCTCCAATTGTTTATGCCCAAGCTCACCAGACCTTCAGCAGCGGACACTGTGGAGTGAATGCAGAACACTCAACAGTTGTGGGGAGCCAAGAGTTTGCCACCAATGTTGAAGGTTTGAGAGGTTCTCAGAACCATCACACCAACAAAGGACCARGCAATTTGAATTTCTTCAATGAAAATCAAATGAGTGGGAACCGTCATGAAACTCTGCCCACCCAACATTCTGGTTTAAATGGCGAAGATTTGAGAG